CATGCAAAATGGGTGGCGGGGGCGGATTCTGGGTGGGGTGGCCTGTGGTGTCACTTTGTGTGTGCAGCCAGTCGGAAAATGAATTCAAAACTCGAACTGACTCAGCTGCATCCAAATCGGGCCCAGACCGGCATTAAGCAACCAATTCTCCCGTGGAGAGCAGACGAATTCTCTGGTGTCTATCAATATCCAATGCTAACAATGCCCTGAAAATAATTAACTAAAATTTCTCACCTGCTGTCTGTGTACACTACGAGAATTTTAACTTGTAAGCATTTATAAAGTGCAATCATTTGCTGAAAATTATTATTTTATTTATTTTAGCAGCACATGTGTTAGTTTTAATTTTAATGTTTATTAAATTACATTTTGTTTATTAAATCATTATCATTAATGCTTACCGCCTGTAATATTTATAATAAAATTGTTCTAAATAATTAAAAATTCCCGTCTCTATATGTCGGAAAATTTTCCGGTAATATTTTTACAGCCACCATAATCGGGATAATATCCACAGAAAATATAACGAGGGCCATAAAATGTGTCGAGTGTACAGACTGCGTTCTGTTGGATGATGCAACCAGCAATCGCAATGGAACCAAAGTAAAGTGCAACAATTATCCACTGCCAACGGGCAACCATTTCGACGGGTTCCACTCTGATCGTTGTGGGGGGGAAGTTATGTGTTCAATTTGCGAGCCAACTAAAACTGGTAACGTAACTGGCCACAGATAAATCAATCTTTGCACACAGTTTGCTCTCAGTCACTCTCCAAAGTTTACCCCGTTTCTGCTCCATTTAAAAGTTGGCTATCCTCAACACAGACTGATGAATAGACTTTTAATTAACGCGTGCCAGTGTCCAACCTCTGTCACCAGGTCCCCAGCCACTTTTCCTCGATTTCCCAGAGTGCCCTGCCCTCGGAATGTGTTTGCACAGCTGCCAGCGCTTTGCGGGAATATATATTTAGTCGCATATGAAACGGGAATGGGCAGCCCAATCGCCATCGGAATGCTGTGCTCGATTTATGGCAATTTTAAGTCTGCCCATCCGAAATATAGTTTCATGATTAATATAGAATTAAAGTCTTAGAATTGCACAGATAAATTATGCGCGGCATTCTTGTGAATATTTCAAATGATTTTTCTTTTGTATATAAAATGTAGTTCGCCTGCCAAGGGTTTTAGTTCTGTGCGATGTACAGCAAACAACATTTTCAATCATCCAGATTGGATTCGTTCGGTTCAAAGACCTGACATCAACAATGTCCTTGTGTCCTTTATCTCCCGCATAGTCGCATCTCATAAAACGTATTTTCAACTTATTTTCCAATTACCAGATCCAATTGCTTGCCACCTTTTGCTGGGCCAGCACAAATGGCAACAAAGACCAGAAGCAGACAACGGCACATGAAAATCACGTTGGCTCAGCCCAAAGCCAGCCCCATGCATATAGATTTCCTCAACCACAATTGGATGGCCATAACGGTGAGAGGGGAGAAATGGATGGGGAGGTAACCTAATTGGTAAGACGGCGACACATTGAAAAGTGCCGTCGCTTTCTTCTCCCATTGGTTTTTGCAAGGCAAGCCAGAAAAACAATCCACCCATCCACTCGAGGAGGTGAGAGGTGACTTACAGTGAAACCCCACACAAAAGAGCCTTAGTATAAGCGTCGTGAGCAGTTATACATCATTCAGTAATTAATATCATCAGTAAGTAATTCGATACAGATATAATTATAATTTGGTGTCAAAGGTTTTGCTAATGATAAAATCCAATTAAAGCATATCAGAAGTCCTAATTATAAGTAACAAAGAATATGATTAAATGGGTGAATTATTAATGTTAGATTTTAATAGTTACTGGAACCTCAATTAGTGTTCTTATTAAAATACTTTAAAGGCATAGTAATCTCCGATTTTCTAGAGACTTTCACCCTTAAACTTTTAGCTGCGATTTCTATGGCACTTCCCATGTTTTTGTCTTAAGGTTGGACCAAATTTCTGCGCTGCCAAATGGCATTCGATTACATACATACCTGCCTTCAACTCTTGCATCAAATTTAAGCCGAATTTCCGCAAACTATTCATCGCATTTCCCGCAACCAGATTCCCATTCCCATGGGGGTTTTGAGCGGTCTATTTATAGGGAAAATTCCTCTTTGATGTCTCGCACACAAAGCCCGTTCCGATGTTCAGTTGGCCATGCCGGGAATTATTATTTTCTGTCGTCGCTGGGCTGCATAAAGGAAAATTTCCTTGCCCCAGGCACACTCGCACACTCAAACATTCACACACAAATCATAAAAGCTGCTTAGCTGTCCATTCGTGCATGTCCTGGCCAACTTAAGGACAAACTTGGCGAAAGGAGCAACCGCGGAAGAAGGAGCCAAAGAGGCTAATGTGAGCGTGGCCGAAAAAGTGTTGCTATAAATAACCTTAGACATGGGGGACGTCCACTTCTAAACCCCAAAACCCGAGTTCCCTATTCCATATTAATATGCATATAAAGAGTGTGCTTGTGAGAGTGTTTGGGTTACATGGCATGTACACACGCCAACTTTTGTCTGCAGCCAAAATCAAGGAAACAAAATACAAAACAGTCTTTTTCTTTTTCTTTTTTTTTTATTTTCCCTTTGCTCTTGCCCTGAAATGTGTAATATAAAGGCAAAGCCGACGGCAAGTGTGTCATAGGTGTATGTGGTGTGTGGTGTGGAAAATCGGAAGCGGAGGAATAACGAAACAAACCAAAAAATTATGCAGAACTTTTTGACAGTCCGCAGTCCTTTTCAGTTTTCTTATTTGCTGTTTCCTTTGTTGTTCTTGTTGCTTGAAAGTTACTTTTCGGGTCTAAAACTTTGGCAATAAGGAAATGGCATACAAACCTGTGCATATCATTACTAACAAATAATATGAGAATTTAAAAAATCAGTTGCATTTGAATTAATTTTCTTTTGCTTACGAACATAGTTCGTTTTAAATGTTTGCTTTTCATAGCATTGGTTGAATAAAGAGTTTCAAAGTGCGGATTTTATTTAATCTATCCAAACCAATAACTTACAATATTGGTTGGGTTATTTTAACAAAAATCTAATATACATACATTCTATCCAAATACCTCTATACGGCATCTGGGATCTAAGGGTTCTGCAGCTTTGACAAGACATCCGGCAAATGAGAGAAGGAATAATAAAGACTTTACAACGCAGATGTTTTTTATTTTAGAATTTGCTTATGAAATTCCATTGACACACATACTCGTACTCGTTGGGCTGGATAAAAAGGCGGTTACGGGCATCTGTAAGTAATAACAATCTCCAATTTTACTTTGAAGCCTCCTGCTGAAACCCCCCAACTTCCCAAAGAAAATCTTTGGGAATCTCCATCACACAGCTTCAATAAGAACGCCCACACTTTGTGTATATATTTTTTAAGGATTTCAAATTCATTTTATTGGTTTTTTTGTTTGTTTGTTTCTTTTCCTTTGTGTTTTCTTGTTTCTCTTCCTCTCCTCTTTAAATCATCATTTTACTTATAATTCTTTTACTTTTTCGCAAATTTGTTTTTTATTGTATGCTTGTTGTGTTTGTTTGGTTGTTTTTGTTTGTTGTTTTTTTTTTTAAGATTTGTTATCTTATTTGTTGGTTTTTAAATATATATATATTTTTTTATATATATGCACTTGCTATATAAACTTAAATGTAAAAACTAAATTAAATAACTTGAATTTTGCTTTCTCATATTCTTGCGTTCTGGTTCTTCTCACATATATATATATATATATATATAGTATTCAATATATATTTTTGTTTTGTTAATGTGTACCTCGAATTAGCTCGCACTCACATGAAACAACAACAAAAAAGGATTCTCTCTTCTGGCTTACCTAACCGAACAAACATTTAGACTGAGGGAGAAGCTTTAAGAGTACGAAAAAAAAGATAGATGATGTATTAAAAGTAGTACAAATTAGTGCATAATGTTCCTTTAATACAAAAACGTAAAGCATTCAAATCGTTAGTCAAATAGTAAAGCTCAGGTTGGGCTCCTCAGATACTGTATCTGCGTCTATATAGAGCAGTGTTAACAGCTACCGTAAAAAGTTTACTAACACAAGACAAAAATTGCACAAAATTAAAGATCGACTTCTTGCTCTCTTACTGCACATATGTTTCGAATATATATATTTAGTTATATATCCACATTAAATTTGTATGCTCAGACTACCGTAGATTATTTTCAGAATATGCTTATGTGTGTTAGTCAGTGTGTTTTTGTTTTTGCTTTGTTTGGGTCACTGACAAAGGACACAAATCAAATCAAATCGGCGATAGTTCTCCACACAAACTAGTTAGAAACACATAAACATGTGTATGTTTCATATAAAGGGAGACAATTTGGTTGTGATGTGAACATTTCGTGGCTACAAACATCGTCTTCTTACTCGATTGATTTCGGTTTTGTTTGTTTACTTTGTTTACTTTTATTTACCATTAAATTTAGATGCTTAATTAATGCCTATTTATGACTTTTGTCTCGCAACTAGTTGAACAAATAATCATAGAAAACATAAAAAGTATTTATAAATTAATTTTATTTGTTACGATCCCGAGTTGCTCTCGCTCTTTATATATCTTCTCTTCTCACAACAACAACATAATTTAAAAGTCTTGACTTTTAAAAATAAATAATAACAGGGAAAGGAATGCGGAGAAGTGCCGCTAAAATTAAAAGGTAGTTTGGAAACGATTTCGATATCTCCTACGGCCAATTAAAATGATTACCACTCCTCTCCGCACATAACGAAACAATAATTATACTCCGATCGATATTTACTTGAATATATATGCTATAGTTGCCTTTTTTCTCTTCATTTCTCTCTGCTCCAAATAACTATACTTAGCACATGCACATGATATTCTCTTTGTTCTGCTCTTGGTAAGTATAATGCTTCAATCTTTGTGTATATATAGACATGACTCCGTCGACATCTTCGGCATTCGCTTCTTCTTTAATTTCATTAATGCTAAGTTTTATACGTTTTATACACACAAATTTCAGTTGATTTTTTTTTTTTGCTTTTGTTTTCTTTCTTTTTTGTTTTATGTGTCTTAAATGTAAACATTTAGATTTTGTTTTTTTTTCTTTATATATTTCTTGCTGCGTTTCAAATGTTTCTTTTTTGTTACCTTCACTTGCTTTAGTGTTTATACTTTAGAGTTTTGAGTAGTTGATGTGGTTCCTTGCGAATAGTGGATGTTGGATGGACAACTATTTATGAGTGAGTGTGCATTTGTTTAGGTGCCACTGTTGAAATGAATAATGTTCTGTTTCTGCTATCGAATATGGTTCTGTTCGTGATCCGGGTCGGGCGATTGGTTTATTGTTGCACGTCGTCGCTGATTGTACAACATTTATATACGCGAATATATATAAATATCTAGAGACATGTCTACGGTAAAGACGCCAAATCGTCGGGGCTACTTGAACGCAAGCTCGCTTAGCGGAAAGGCGGGGGGCATTAGGGCGTCCAGTGGGGCGGCGTGTCAACTCCGGACTGATTTCACACACACACACTGGTCACCTGGCCGGCAAGTGTCCTCATTCGGCAGCGACTTTTGCTTTTTGTGTTTTTCTAAGGGCCTCAACTCGTTTCTGCTCTACTCCCGTACATATTACACCTTTAATTTATCGCAAGATTTGCCTGCTACTTTGTTTTCCTGTTGATGTTGCTTTTTTTTTTGTCAAGCACACTGCGTGCGCCATAATTTTTGTGTTAATTTTAACGTTTTGTATTTAATTTAAAAATTATTAAAGCGTTTTATACTCTCAACTTGATGTTGTTGCTGCAGCTGACTGAGAGACCGACCTGAATCGATCGAAATTAAATGAAATTCTTTTGCCCTGGCTTAGATGACAATTCTCCTGGATTTCCTCTTATGTATTCTCTGTTGTTTTTTTTTCAGTGTCTTCCCTTTACTTTCGCTTCTATTGCTGGTTCTTTATCGGTTTCTCTTGAATTCTTTAGTTAAGACTAAGCTACGTTTACAACTAAATATCTGTAGTCTCGTGGTTAAATACGCTATATGTTATGAATGAATATTAATGTGTAAGTCATTATTTTATCGGTTTCTATATCTTGTTTCGGTATCCGGATTTTAAATCTTCAAGTCTTCCAAGTCCTTCCACCAAGCTTCACACACAAGATGAAAAGATTGTTCCGACTGGGTCCCACATGAAGACGTAGGGAAATGCTGAAAGAGACAACCAAAAATAAAAAAAAATGTTAGTTGTGTCTGCAAACTCAATCAAGCATGCATTTGCATAATTTGCAATTTATCGAGCTCGTCTCGATCAGCTTTGACTTCTTCCGATCCGGTCCGATAGCCACCCAACCTTGACTGGGGCCCCAAGTGTACTTCCTACTGGGGTTTCTTAACCTCTGCCGCATATCAAATTAAGCTCAAGCATAGCCGATAACTCATTCAGCACACAAGACCGCCAAAAGTTAAAGCAAATCGATTCTATTAATATGTTTAATTTGACTGTTGGCTATTTCTAGTTTGACTTGCTCAGGGCATTCAGCTGGGTCAAGGTCGTTTCTGTGAGTTTAAGGAACCAAAGAACTAGGGTAAGTGAATGTAAGCGCATGACTGGACTTGTTAAGTTATAGTTGAATAAAACAGTAAGGTAACTTGATTATTTCCACAAACCTAAGACTTAGGAGGTGCATTTTGTTAACAACTATTTTTAATTTAAATACTATTATTACAAATAATGTATTAACACCCCTTTAATGGCTTATAAAATATAGATTTTAATAGCTGGATTCCAAGGCAGCTAAACGACGAGTTTGCTCTTGACAATTCAACAATCTATACCGGACCACACCCACTAAACGCCTTCGTCGGCGACAGAGACATCGAAAAAAAGAACTCCCTAGAGCTGGAGAAATTTTCCCATGTCCCCGGGCATATTGGCATGTTAAAAGTTTTATAGATTTTTCGCCTTATCAGCTCGGCACATGCTTGGCTGCTCCACCCCCTTCCATGGGTATCTCATGACGTAAGCGAGCCACAGCAGCGTGCTATATTAAATCTCTTTACACGAAACACACACACACACACACACTCGCACACGAATTGTGCGATACAAAAAGAATAACAAGATAAAACAATATTTTCAGGCGGCATTTTATCGCTGAAACAAAAAGCGTCACTGAATCGCCGCTGCTGCTGTTGCTGCTGCTGCTGCACCCACGCAAAGGTAGCCATATAGATACACACGTTCGGGTAGCCGAAACCGGAGAGGTGCACAGTATACTCAGGTATCGAATGCGAGTTGGTGGAGTTTGGCATTGAATTTACAAGAGATCTTTTGTCTGCCATTGTCTCGAATTACATAAGGCCGAAACCTAAAAATTATGGCCAACAAGCGATTGCAAAGGGAGGAGGCATTACGTGAGCCAAGTAAAAAACAAAACTAGTGAACGCAAACGGAAAAGACTTTCGCCCAAGCAATCGGCGTTGGCCTTGAAGCACTAAAAAAAAATATCCAAACCCTAATGCAAGAAAAGTGTTTCTATTTATTATTGATATGAAACGGTTATAGCTTAAGAAGCAGCCAACAGTTGGAACACTTTAAAATTCATATAATCTCTTTGTTCCATTAAACATTCAAAGTTGCCTAGAACAAATCTGGAAACTCATTTGGTGTAACAAGTTTGCTGAGAGCTTTAAACTTGTTTGAGAACTCAGTTGAATTGGTTTTTGAGAAGGGCAAAACTAGAACAAGCAGCTGAATGGTGGCAGGTAAAATCTTGGCAACATATTTGACCTACACGCAATGACAAAATGGTTGCCAGAAAGAACAATCAAAATATGCCAGGGCGTGTATTTATTTATAACAATGTGGCAAAAAAAAAACGGATACTTAAATCATAAGAAAAACAAATTAATTTATATAAGAAGATTTAATTTTTCTCTTGATTCAGCCCCTTCACAGCTCGGCGCAAAAAGACGAAAAACATTTTAATAAATCAGCCAAAAACCAAGACAACCAGAGTGGACAAGCCGAAAATATCTTTAGATATATAAATGCTATACAATCTATAAATGAACTTATTTCACAGAGACATATATCTAGGAAATAATATAAAAAAAATTAACATGAGTTTTTTTGTTTTTCGACCAGCTGTTGTTGATTTCGCTTCAATGCCTTGTCCCAAAAAAAAACTCCAAAGAAATACTCTCTCTAAAGTGCACTGCAAGTTGGATGCAAAATAAAACGCTTTTTATACAGATTTATCGACTGAGACTTTTGGAGCTTTCTTTTGTTATATAATTTATGAACATATTCCCAAGCTTATAAATAACTCAAGCCACCCACATGCAAATGGAGTATAAATACACACCACTCACGATTTTTACTTTATTTATAGTTAACACATTCATTTGCCTTGACCACTCGGCCTCCCAAAACCAAATCCTCTCACCTTACTCAGCACCAACCCTACAATCCTACAATCGAGCTTCCACATTCTCCACTCAGTTAGTCAGCGCCAAGGAGTCAGTTGCCGAGTTTCCCTTGTCGGTAATTACGCATTTTTAAAATGCAGTCTGTGCTTTGTAGCCATCAAATATTTAAAGACTGGAGCAAACAGCTTTTGAGTGTGGGTGGCCCAAGCAAGGAATGTGTCGCTGTCCCAGACCAAGTTTTCTGATTCCAGTCCCAGGTCGCCGTCGTTTGGCCTTTTCTAAAATGCACAAAACACTAACCACACACACACACACACACACACACACACACACAGGGAAAGGCAGAAGCAAAGTCAAAAACTATGTCAGCAATCTTCAGTGCCTTCCAAACATGGCTGAAGTCTGCCTTAGAATGTCACATATCTATGAGACAACTGAGACATGAGCTTTGCCATATCATATCGTAGACTAGATAAGAAAAGTGAAGGAGTGTTAATAAGTCAAGGCTTAACACTCTAATTAATGGGGTACTCGCATTGATTGGAATGTCATTTATACTTTGTATATCCTTTTATACTTTATATACACTTCAATGAGCTTCGTATTAATCAACCAGAGAAATGTTTTTCTAAAGCATACGTTAAATTGCAGCTCTTTTAGCTTTATTTCATGTCAAAGTTTCAGAACCTTTGTTAGACATATACTTAGCCTTTTTTTTGGTACCCTCTGATTGTTTTAAAGGTACCTTTAGCATAAATTATTTCAGATTGCTTTCATTTTGCTACCGAGTCACAACTTGCATCTCCTTACACTTGAATGCCCTCCGACGGTTTTCTTTCGGTCTACGTCACTGGTCAATCAGACGAATGCTTTTCTTGCATTGAAACTGACTCTGGGTTCAATATACGCCAAATAAAAGGAGATCTGCAATTTGCAATTCACATATTCGCCGCTTTTGTTGTTTCCAATTCAATTCTGCTCAGTCTCACATCCAGACACTCGCTTTGAACCCTCAACTTTGTTTAATAACAAAACAAATGCAAGACTAATGCGAAAGGCAGAAAATAAGAAATGAGCGAATGAAAGAACACAGAATTGGAATGTGAATGCGAATGCGAATGAGTGGAATGAATGGGGATCGGCATGCCAATTATCGAGGCGCCCTCCCATCGATACTTGGCCGCTGTTCGTAAATCAAAGTGTGGAAAAGTTTTGGGGCAATGGGAAAGTAAGAGAAATAAATGGATTGAGGCTCGCCGTATCTAATGTCAATAAACTTTTTGGCTTTGAAATCAAATCAATTTTCATGCCAAGCGAAATCGGGCAGACATCGTGATGGGGCAGGAAAAGCGGAAAAGCGAGGAAGAGGCCACACAAAGAAGGGAAAATCGATGCCGGCCCTCAAGACAAATCAATTAAAGTGAAATTCCACGTATATTATTCTCTTCTGAATTTTACATTTTCACGTTTCCATCGAGCCGAAAGAAAATGTCAACGAAACGAAACGAACTGAAATTAAACGAAATGAACAGGAAACGGAAACATGACAATTGGATGGCCGAAACGGGGTTCCAAGGGACTGAGGGGCAAGATTGGGGACTGCGAAAGCTGATGGGCCGACAACACAGAAGCGCAAATTAAAAGCAAATTTCAATTTTTGCATTGACATTGTCACTGTTTTGGCCGCTGCCACCACTGTCGCTTTTTGTTGTAACAAAATTAACTATGAAAGTAATTAAAGGCCAGGGGCAAGGCAGAGCAAGATGGGGCAGGCCAGGATGGGCAGAAGGGATTGCCGGGGCTGGGTCAACTGGTGCCTGCGGGGAAAGCGACGTTAGGAGGAGGAGGAGGAGCGTTCCAGGGATGAGAGGTGGCCATAAAGAGACTCAACTTGTCTTGCGCGCGCATGATGGCAATTAACATTACACACTAACCCACCTACCAGCGTCGGGAGATACATTAGTTTGAGGCCTAAATACCCAAGTGAATACTAAAGATAAATAAAGAATTAGTACTTTAATCTATAAAAGTACAGTTTGAAAAATACAGTTGAAAGCTAGGAACAAAACTGTTATTTAGTTACACAAATTGGTTTTAGCCACACCATTTAAGTTTCACATATTTTCAAGTATTTTAATTAAATGTTATTTAACAGGAAAATTGGCACTGGAAACAATGATTTTCTCAATCTAAATATAAGCTAAAATTGTTATAGTCCAATGACTTAAGGTAAGTTTACACACAATTCGAAATTCGTAAATTTTTTATTTTATTTTTAATATTCGTTTACCGTGCTATTATTCCTGTTTTAATGTTGTTTTTGTGTGAAACAATATCAAACCTAAGTGATAAATATAAAAATAAGTCAAGTGTAATAGGCTATAAAAAGGCTGAAGAATGCTTTTTAATCGACCCTCGCATGGCGCACGCCCACACACACAAACGCTGCCTAAGGAAGCCACTGAGGATAATGGTGCGGCAGGGGTGCGGAGGGGGCTTACACGCAACAGCGCCGCCGGCGACACGGCGCACAATTTGTGCGCTGCAATAAAATAAAATTAAAATTTGAAACAACGACGGCAGGGCAGCAGCAACATTGAAACATCAAGAGGGAAGGGGAGGGAGGTGCGAGTGGCGAGGGGGGAAAAACTCAGTGGGAAGCTGTAGCTGTAGCTGTTTGGATATGTGTATATGGGTGGAGTGCACTTCGTCGTATGAGCGATGAGCACAGCCGAGCCATCATCCATCCTCGTTATTTTTTTCTTCTCTGCACTGCT